AACCGTTTTTCATCAGAACATAAAACAACAAAATCAACAAACTGTGGTTCACACTGCAGACCATACCTTTAAATATCTCTAGTGAATGTGAAGTTGATACCTAAATCAAAGCCATGACGCAAATGCAATTGTCTCTCTTTATAGCTAATGCTATGTACATGGGTGGTCAAGAAATGAAGAATGTTCTGGAAAGAGACAACATAACCATCAAGAATAATCTTGAAAAGGTAAGAAAATACATACCTGCTGTATATGATTCAATATGCTAAATGGCTACCAGTCAATGATTGATGGCATTAAGACATTGTGAGAATATAAAATATTAATGAATAAATGAATAATAAAATACTGAGCTTGAATAATCAGCTAATGGTTCACTCATTTTCAGCTGTTAATTTTTAATTCAGTATGTTTGTTAGGGCAGTTCTATAGTAAACAAAATATGTTTCTACTTTCAGCTCATATTTTACTATGGAACTACAGATCATTGGTGTCCTGTGCAGTATTATCTTGACATCAAGCAGGACTTCCCACATGGAGACATCAGACTGTGTGAGAATGGGTTCCGGCACGCCTTTGTCCTGGATGCAGGAGGAGAAGTCGCCAAAATGGTGGTAGAATGGATCCATGGAGACTTGAAGACATGAGTTCTTTAATTTTTTCATGTACTGATGACCATGATGCTCTGCAGTGTCCAGACCTGCAGCAGTGTTCAGTGGCAAAGATGGATTTTTGTATTAGCAGAGATCATGGAACTGAATTTAAATAGGACAGACTGTATATCAAATATTAATTTTAATATATATTGTATAATGATGTGATTTGCCTTGCAATTGGGGTGGACAAAATGATGGTGGTGGAACTTATGTAGAACTTTGACTATGGAAGTAGTGAATGCATTCTATTAAAACCCTAAATAGAGTGTTGTGATCAGCATCAGTCTCCAAAGATAAAATGAGAAACCAGAAATCTGCTGTAGCACTTCTAAAAATGGTGTTGTCATTTTGCACATTTTTATTTTATGGTATCTTTATTTCACATTTTTTTCACATATATAGTAATGTGGGACATTAAATTTATGCATTCCATAGTATGATGACTTAATAAAATGCCTTTTATTTTTCATTGGCTTGTGTCTGTTGAAGATTCTGTGCTGTAAAACATCAGAGCTGCCTATGATGTAATGACATTGTATTGAAAAAGTTGCCAAACATTTAGCCACAGGTGTCAGTTGTAGGATTCTAAGCACATCTTGAACAAAATAAGAATAAATACACATAATAGGCTTCTTAAATGTGAATGTGAATATTTGTCATGTTTACCAACCATCAACATGAGTTAGACAATGAGACTATTCTTCTCTGCCGGTTTCATATATAAACTTTTTCTCTATAACACTGTACATGACTAAATGAACCACAGTGACACAGTGACTGAGACAGTGACTGATCCCCATGAATGTCATTAGATTGATGTAACGGTACTGGTAAGTGTTGCTAAATAGTAACTGGATGGGGCATCCTGTTAGCCAAAGCACTGATCATGAACCGTGGGGGCAGTGGACTATGTGCCATTGTATGCCTAGTAGTAGCCATTTTGCAGTAGCTTGCTGGTAATTCAGCCAAAGTCATACAGTATGTCGTACATAGTGATTAAAGTAATTACATTACTTTTTTTTTTTTTTTT